TCGGCCAAACAGTTCATATGTGAGAAAAGAGGGTTGCAGAGGTATGAGTAGTCTGGGAATTTAACCTGTTCTCTTCCTCCAGGAGTCTGTAAGCACTCAAGGACTAGAGCAGGCCACCATGGAGACATAGATTTTAGACATGAAAACCCCATTGATGGATATGTTTTAAATTGTAACTGCAAATCTCTTTGAGTCTATATAGAGGAAGGAGAGCTAAAAGTACTCAAAACAGACCCTGTGTTACCAGCGCTGGCAAGCAGTGGGTACCTGAGGCCTCTTCTCCCCTCCTTTGAGTGGGGGTCTTGGGCAGGGACCTTGGAATTTTTGCCCTGCCAGGTATATATGCTCAGACGCTGAGTCATGGCCCGTATATAATTCTGGTTCCCAAACACTTTTGCTTGTTCCTGGCGTGCTAAGTCTTTTCAGGATTTTCATGCGTCTTTGGAAGATGAGAATAGCACAGGTGACAACTCACCTAGATCAACTCCAATTTTGCCATGTGGGAAGTTACAGATTTCTCAGCGTTGCTTTAATTTTGGGACTTAACTCCTGCAGCTGAATCCATTTTATTTGTTTTGTTTGTCTATTAGATTTTAAGTCGCCGCTCACCCAAAGGGCCTCACGGTGACTTAGAACATGAAAACCAATAAGGTTAAAAACAACATAAAAACAAATAACAAATATAAAAGATTTAACATTAAAATGTTAAAAATATGTGGCTATCCCCATAACCACTATTAAAACAGCCTAAACATGTGGTCACCCTCCAAAGACTAACCTAAACAATTCTGTATGTTGTCGACACTTGGACACAGAGAGTACTCTATCTTTCTGTGTTATACTTCTGAGCATGCCCGTCACAGCTAGTGGCGAAACATCAGGTCCTACAATGCCAAGACCACAGCCACACAGCCCGGAAAATCTACAACAGCTACTAAACAATTCAGCTTTACATGCCCTCTGGAAACTAAACAGATCTAATCGCCCGGTTTTATCACACCACTCCACAGTGATGATGGAACGGACAGAGACTTCTTGGGAAGGGTGACTGAGCCATAAGCCATACCTTGGGGATTGTGTATCCTCGGAACTGGGTGTCACGGATCACACGCCGTGCGAGCCCCATGGGGATCATGTCAGAGAACCTCTGGATCTCATGGATCACGGCCTCGGTGTAGGGCATTTGTGGGCGGTCGTCCATGTTGGGGCCACGGTTCCTGCCGATCACCTGGTCTATCTCCTGACGGACCTTTTCTGTTGAGAAAGCCACAGGACGTAAAGACGGTATTTATACGGGTTCAATTACAGATGCACCTTCCTGAGAACCAACAAGGAATCCAACGGGCTTCTGCTGTTGTATTCCCAGTTGAACAGCATGGTGCACAGCCGGGAACACAGGAAGTATGTCGGAGAAAGGTGTGCTCACATTTCCTCCTGGAATGGAACTCCCCATAACAATGGGAAGCCAGCCACGTGGACAGTTTGCGCAGCCTTCAGTGGTCTCTGCCAGGCCTTTCCCACACATGCTGAAGAACTCACACACCTGGAAGCCTACAGCATTCTTGACATTTAACTCTGGGACAGATTCCAACCAAAGCCTCTTTTGCCCTGCTAGAAAGGCTGCACTTTCCCTCCCTCCTTCCACAATCACCTTCGATCTCTGGGTACTTCAGCAGAATCAGGAAGCCGTAACGCAAGGTGGTGCTGACAGTTTCGGTCCCAGCAAAAAATATGTTAAGCGTTGTCAGGACTACATTCTTCAGAAAGAACTCTGTGTTCGGGTTTTTCTCTTCCTTGGGAGAAGAAAATGGAGACATGATTTACAGATCATGAGTGTCACTTTCGGAGACTGTCTTTCCCCATCACATCAGAACATAAGAGGAGCCAGGCCAGTGGCCCATCCGGTCCAACACTCTGTGTCATACAGTGGCCAAAAATACCAGGTGCCATCAGGAGGTCCACCAGCGGGGCCAGAACTCCAGAAGCCCTACCACTCTTGCCCCCCTCAAGCACCAAGAAGACAGAGCATCACTGCCCCAGACATAAGAGAAGCCATGTTGGATAAGGCCATGGCCCATCCAGTCCAACACTCTGTGTCACACAGTGGCCAAAACCCAGGGACCATCAAGAGGTCCAGCAGTGGGGCCAGGACACCAGAAGCCCTCCCACTGTGGTCCCCCAAGCACCAAGAAGACAGAGCATCACTGCCCCAGACATAAGGACACAAGAGAAGCCATGTTGGATCAGGCCAGTGGCCAAAACCCAGGTGTCATCAGGAGGTCCACCAGTGGGGCCAGAACTGCAGAAGCCCTCCCACTGTGCCC